GTTAGCACGGGCTTGCCGATTTCATACCTGTCTAAGGGCCCACAAGAGAGTGAGCTATTGCTCTCGTCTTTGACTTGTTCCGCGTGAATCACCAGAAACCACCTCCTCATTGTTAACCTGCATGGGGGATTTAAGTTGCTCGCTTAGGTAGTTGGTGGAGTGTATGTGTCACTTGGAAACGAGCATTTGAGTGAAATGAAGACCACAGACCAGTAGGATTTGTTAAGGTTGCCCCAATGCTATCACATGCTGGAAAGGAGGTTAAGTTGTGTCGCACCCACTGACTCCTTTGTGGGCGACGCAATTTCACAATCGTCTGGCAATACCAATTTGAGCGCAGAACGGAAAGCGATTGAAGTGGTGTAGTCCGTGCTTAATGCACACTTTACCCGGGCAGTCTCAATGCCTCCTTTAGCCCATCCAACTGCGATTTGTTTTCCTTCCATATCTTTACCTCGCTGTTGATCTCATTCTTCTCTCCTCCACACTGTCCACTTTTCCTTTTTTCTTATCAAACTGGACGCCTGTTTGAATAGGTTGGGTTATAGCCCAGTTTCCTACAGTATATGGCATCTTCTTCTTTAGTTTGAACTATTGCTCATTTTGTATATTTATGCCCAAACAACTAATGCTTAAAAATTCCTTTTTTCTTCATGCGGATTGCTGGCATGCGCTGCTCAGTTTATCCGCGTTTAAGGCGCCTATTTGTTTTAACATTGTAAGCGGCTGATAATGCAACAGCTTTAGCAGGAAGCCTATCGCATGGTTCACCTCATTAAACAGATGATTAGCATTTTTTATGTAGAGAGAGATGTTGTAGCGGCATGTTTTGCGAGCAAAGAGGGAGGCAAGATGATGCTAAATCTTCATTCTGGAGACGTCAGCCAACCGTCTTCCTGTCTAAGTACGCTGATTTCTGATGTTCACCAGGAAGGAAAAGGGTGCTAAAGTGAGCCTCTTTGGAAGCATCATTTGGGTGGGTAGGGTGGACTAGATGTGATGAGTTAAACAGTGATGGCTTCGACTTCAAAGAAGGGGCGACTTGAGACTGCCATGGCTACCTTACCCCCATTGGGTAAAAATACTCGTGAGCCTCCATGGTTTTTTTTATCCATTAGCGGCGGAACTCATTGATGGAACGGGTAAGGAAATGATGTTGGGAAGAACAGTGGGAGTCAGTCCTTAGACTCTTGTTCTATGGGCACATGGGCGATGGGTCATGGTGCGATGAGGCGTAAAAGACGCATACAGAATGTGGGCATCAACCGATGAGCAAGAGCAGCACTGACGAAACAAAGGCCAAGATTAAGTGGTATAAAACAGTTTTAGGCGTAATAGAGTATTTCGTAAATTTAAGCTTTCACTTAATAACTTCGAATCTGGTGTGGGTATGTAGATCGAGGGAAAACGCGTGACGTGTGGAGCCTCACCATAGCGAAGTCTGATGTCGTCAGATTTGGAGGGCATTTCACGTAGAGAGGTTGATGAGTGCATGCGTTGCTTGCCCTTGGGACTGCAGCTTTCGCATGCAGAATTTGCGGAGAAAACGAAGTGAGCACAAACGGCCTCACTTAAGCTGCTGCGGCGACCAATCACTGGCCTTCAAATGACCACCACTTTTTGAAGTAATCATTTAGTGGAAAACAACTGCTGCTATTTTGACCCTCTCCTTCGACGCCTTCAACGTTTGTCCAAGAGGCGCAAAGCAATTAGTTCAACCCTCTTCTTTCATAAATCATCTACCTCATTCACTGTCGACTTTTAGAAATGCTATCTGGTAGGTCCGCAAGTTTCCTTCCCTCCCTTACCTCTCTCAATCAGGAGCACGAAGAATAAACGTTCGAGAGTATATGGTTTAATGACAGTTTGGCAGTAGTGAAACAGGAGTAAATAATGCATCATGTGTCATTAATCCCACAACAAAGGGCTAGAAATGATGGCAGTCCAACAGCCTTACATTCAGCATCTACAAAAATTGGGTAAGGGTGGAGTAGAGATGCTGGTAGAATTTAGGTGTGGGCACAATGGAAGGGCTAATTCAAGCGAAATCTCAGACGAGGACAGCCATGGTGCAGGTGAGGAGGAATGCAGAGAGCGCAGAAGTTAAAGCGCATCTACTGGTTGTGGCGACGAGTCCACTTACCTCCTCCGTTTTCGAAGACACACTAGCGGAGGAGGTGTAAATGACCCCCTTATAAATCTCTTCATCACTCCCATCCCTCTTTGCATATAGGAATGCATTGTATTGTTTGTCAGCGCTCAAATTCCGAATGAAAATGTTGCCACTGGCAAATCTTCCTTCACGCTCATAAACACGTCCGCCTGTGGCTGGTTCGAAGCGTAGTTTTATACTGCTTGCAAAATCGGTACTCAACTTCTCCACGTCCCACTCCAACTCGACACCGTAAGGCCCAGACTGGCGCCATTGGAAGTGTTCTGGAAGCTCGTCAGGCAAAATAACCCATCCTAAAGTAAGTATAAATTAGACGAAACGCTGTTGTTTGAGTGGATGAAATGCAGCTGTAATACCTCCACCTCCACCGCTTTGGTAGGACAGTCGAACAAATGAGAAAAACCAAGGGAGCATTACTGATTAAAGGAAGTAAATTGCATTGCTGCTTGGAAGGCTGAAGAAGTGGATGCACCAGAAATAACGCCTTTACCAGCTCACTTGCATGGGAAACACAAAATCGTTAATGACGCTAGCATATGTACTTCCACTGCGCCCTATCGCGCAAACTACTCACCTCATCTTCGATGAGGCGAACAACGGTGTACAAGATGTTTGCAAGTGCAAGTCGTAATATGTGCTACTACAAAGCCTAACATGAGACGAACGAAGAAGGCGAAATGGTACGCAATCTGCACAAATATGTAAGCAGCAACCAGTAACTGAATGCAACTTACCGTCCACTGGTTTCCACACCTCGCTCAGCACCAAGATCGCCAACAATACAAGGTGCAGTCGAAGCGACATTATAGTCAAAGGTGACAGATGCAGTTTCACTGCTAGCAGCACAAATTTGAAGGAATGCCACGAGAAAGAACTATTAAATGAAATAGTTGCAAAAAACAGCCAATGAAAGCATTGTGTGGTGCTGTACGCAGTTGGATCATTACCGCACGCACGCTCATGGCATCCTCATCAGCGTGAGCAAAGAGGTGGAGACGTGTGCATCAAGCACGGACCTCGCCACTTCAATCACTTTCCGTTCTGCGCTCAGATTGGCATTGCCAGGCGATTGTGAAATTGCGTCGCCCACAACGGAGTCAGTGGGTGAGACACAACTTAACCTCCTTTCCAGCATGTGATAGCATTGAGGCACCCTTAACAAATCCTACTGGTCTGTGGTCTTCATTTCAGTCAAATGCTCGTTTCCAAGTGGCACATACACTCCACCAACTACCTAAGCGAGCAACTTTAGTCCCCCATGCAGGTTAACAATGAGGAACAAGTGAAAGACGAAAGCAATAGCTCACTCTCTTGTGGGCCCTTAGACAGGTATGAAATCGGCAAGCCCGTGCTAACGGACTTCATTCTGAGCAATGTCTCCTCTGATGCGGAGAACCCTCGGCAGCACACCCAATGGCGAATGTCACGCGCATGAGGCTTAAGGTAATGATTGCGCATGATGCTGCCGACATGACTGAGGTGGAAATCATTCCACCACTCCTCCTCAACAGAGACCGTTTCGCATGGTGTCGGAGTGGGTTTGTCGGATATGCCATGTTCATATCTTTCAGTAAAACCTGATCGCACATAGCATTGAGAGTGCGCACGAGCATGTGATGCGTGAAGACCGTCAGTAGCAGCACCACGGCTAGCATTTGGCACAGCATGTGCCTGTTCATTATGGAGAAGTGTAAATCCTACCTCCAAGGGTGAATGGCCTGAAAAAGCAGCAGCACATTTCTGATTCGTGCAAATCACAACTACAATTGCTTCCGCTGGCTCGATCCGTCTTCTTGGCATCTACAGCTCAAATTGTGCAGCTGTGATTGGTAAAATGGAGCGGGAAATGCTTGTGACTGTGCAGAGCAACTCACATCGACGGAGCCTCCATGACTCCACGCTGCTAAGTGCTGCACGAATCGCCGCGTGGTTGTTGGTGATTTCAGTAGTCTCCCTGCATGCTTACTGCTACCCTCTTTAGCTCAGCCTTAGGCAAAGTATTCACCGGTGGACAATCACACAGATCACCACGACATGATTTGACGCCACCGTT